CTCATGTTTGCAAATTTCGTTTTCTGTTTTGTATTCTTGGTTCCCTTTATTGAAAAGGCTACATGTGTTTCCACTCCACCATACAACAGAGAGCTACGTGCACATCCACTCTTCGCTACACACATGCACGTACCAACACGCACGCTTGCGCGCATATGCACGCACACACACACACACACACGCACTCACGCGCGCATACACAATATAGAATCACACAAAACACTCACAAACTCATACACAAAAAAACTTTTAAACAATTTTTCATTTTAAGTTTTATCTTGAGATTTTTCTTTTTTTTTGAGGCCGCCATCCTATTTGAAGCATTGCTTATGATTGCGGTCTCCTGCACTTTTTCAACAGATAGTTTGGATGATACTTTAAATTTATAATAATATGTTATAGAAATATTAAGTTTCGTAATTATATGTACATATGTAAACAAAACAACAACAACAACAAAAAATTTGACATGAAGTTATTACTGTTTTTTTTTGTAATATTTTTTATTATACCTTACGTTTATATGTTCTTTGTTATTCTGTTATTACATTTAGAAAAATGCAGAAATAAAATCAAATTTAAATGTCGTTATTCCCCCCCAATTTACAAATATAGATATGTGCTCATTTATCTTCCGTTTTTTTCTTGGTGTCTGTTTAAACAGAATAATGAAAAAGCAAAGGGAGAGAGAGAGAAGACGAGAGAGAGAGAGAGAGAGGAAAAAACGCAGGCCAGATTTATTGTTGACCTTTTATCCGAAAATAACACAATGAGAATACCAAGCAACCCCCTAATTTGACAAGACAAGTTTATTTCCGTTTGAAATGATAATGGGTATGTTTGTTGACTTATAATATTGACGGTATATGCTTCGACTGGTGGAGAGCAAAAGTCAACACTTTATTTGTTTTTACAATAAAGGGTTCAGAAATAGTATTTAAAAAAAGGACGTGCTTTAAATTAACTGAGACATTTTTTAAATCAGCCGCCGTGGAGAATAAACTATAATTTCTATTAATAGTAAGTCATCATCATCTTCCAATCTGATGATTAGTTTAATTGCACCGCTTCTTCAACTTTTCTAATATCTTGTAATAATTACAGCTACTTCTGATCCCGCTTGAGGCCTATTCCTGATAGGTTTTTCCTTCTTTTTGTTTAATATATAAAATCTAGCTTTTCTTGTTAGGTATTCATCAAAAACCATGAATAAGTTATTCGATTATTTCTTACTTTATTTTAAAATTACTTATTAAGATCGAACATGCGCGACATTCAGAAGTCCAAATTCTCAAAGTAAATATGAAAGGCAAGGCGACCTTTAAACAGTGTTTCCTTTTGTTTATTCAATTAAGAGAGTAAATAGTCATATCCGTTTCAATTGCAGCCATACCCCACCACAGCAAGCACGTATACTATTACTTGTTCTCTCCAACGAATACATATTTACCTTGAAGGTAAATATGTATTCATAAATAACCTCGCATTGTTAGTTTTTATGGGTCGTTTTATGGTTAATAAATCGTAAAACATGCGAAGAAGGTAGATTGTTTATTTTACGACCAAAGTGGGAAGTTTCAAAATGACCGTTACCGGGAAGAAGAGAATCAAATTCAATTTCTGACATCAGTTCCTGCGCGGGTATAGGCCTACGTGTATAGGCTGGAGGGGTACTCTATTTTTATCAGGTTTTGAGAGGAATGGGTAAAAGATGCTGTGACGAAATTTTTAGATCGGAAGAAGATGTAACAGTTCCGTAAAGTGTATTGGTTACAAAGACAGACGAGGCTCTTCTAAATTCCCAAGTTCCTTGAAGGGAGAGCTAAAATTGGATCCAAAATCCGATAAAAAGGCCGAAGACTCGGGACAATGTCATCTGATATCCAAATCAGGTAAAAGAATTAAAATATATTAATATTCTCCCTCTGAATAGAAAATATAAAGGCATTCTTCTCTTGCATTTGGGTAGCTACATGTAAGCTGGTATATCAACGTGTCTATCTCATCTTTTTCTAAATAATACTTCGTTTGATACAAAATAGCATTCTATCAATTGTGCGGCTTGTGCCTATTATAATGGTAAGTGGCTTTGAGCTAGAAATTGTTAAATTTTATTATTTTAAAATAATTGTATAATATTGGATGGCTTTGAGTGTGATACTAGCATTATATTGCTCGAGATGTATGACAATATTGGACGAGTCGAAGACGAGTCTAATATTGTCAAAGCGAGAGCAGTATATTCTTGTATCACACGAACTCAAAGCAATACAATATTATTGTAATACATTTATCAATATCAGGCTGACTAGCGAAATAACAAAATTTGACTTACCTTGGTAAATATGGCTTTGTTTTCTTGTGATACCGATATCGATAGTTGACGTTTTCAGATGACTGAGCAATACTAAAACAATATTGAGCAGTCATCCGGGTACTGCGCTGAAGATATTAAATACACTGATGTATTGTACCACATGGAAGCCTTACAATAATAGATAATACAAAATTATACTCGACATACCACTTTTTGCGCCATTCGATGTGAACAAAAAAACCCTGAACAACCCTATCAATGATCCTCCTTGCTGTTTACAAAGGGGTGAATAGCCTAGATTATGATACTGAATTCTAATTTTATCTAAGAATCGTGTTATATTTTTATACAGTTTCATATGACTTTATTTGTTATCCTTCTGTTATCCTTTATAGGAATCCAGGAGTCTTGTTTTGTTTTACCTGGCTGTTATCGGGATCGTCACACTAGTCCAGTCCCTGCCGACAAACCGAGACGTTCGATCCGTCTTTCCGGACCAGGATCTTCCCCGGAGAGTGTTTTGGTCCAATACAAGCCTAAATGTTCCCGTGAACTTCCAGAGTCTTACCGATCGCCAGGACACGCTCGAGGCCGTTAAGTTAACGATCCGAGAGACACGCCGCAGAGAAGAGCGATGCCGTCCGTCCTTACTTTTGGGAACCACCCTGCCTAAGGACATCAGTCTCTGTCCCTGGTCTTACCATACCGAGGACGAAGACCAGGATCGATTCCCTGTCATCATTCCACAGGCCTACTGCGAATGTACGAGATGCCATTTCAGCAGGCTAACGAATTACCAAGCCATCGCCGAGCTCCAGGGGCTTCGCGTCACATCGGCTTGCAAGGAGGTCTACGAGAACCGAATGGTTCTTCGGAGGGCGATCCCGGGCGATGCAACATCTCCGTATGTCCCCTATGAGGTACCCGTGTCAGTGGCATGTGTCTGCCAGAAACATTTCTTTTAAATTCGGTGTACGTGATCTATTTGTTCTGTAACCAAAATCGCCCATGTGGGTCCCGATATTTTGTAGTTCTTTAAAAGAACATAATGGTATTTCATATTGAAATAATCAGTTCTTAAAATATTTCAATGTCGTACACCTTGCAATTGTCTTTGTGTGTAAAAAAATCTCTGTCGTACCGTTAGTATATCTGTATTTACTGTATCTAATCTTAGCTGTTTCTTGTCATATACAAATTATGGGAATATGTGCCTATATTTGTTAATTAAGCAAGCTGATAGGATGAAAGTATCAAGGCATATTCCTAAAGGATTTTATTACAATGTTGATAGCATGTAAGGAGGAAACTTCTTTCCCTAATTTACAATTATTATACTGACCAGAGAACAAAATTGGTCAGGTTAATCAAGTATACAATTTAAACAACTTCTGTAAATTCTCCATTTTCATTTAGGCGATTTGTTCATGTTGATCGTGCGATTGGGTGATAAATTAATTACATGAGCGACGAATAATCGTATTATAAATGTCAGGGAGTTTGAATAGAAGGAAAATGATCGAACCTTTCTATCCTCGTGACTTTAAATTATTTTTAAGATGTAAAAAAGATTGATAATATAAAGGATTCTTCTTTAACAGCCACTATGCTTAGGTGTCCCTTGAATCCGCTATCAGCCCGACACAACTCCGGAAAACCGAGTAAAGGCAAATGCTTGAAAAGCAGTTAATAACCAAAGTGAATATAGAGTCCTCAACGTTCATTGTGAGGCAGTGTGTACAAAAGACATGAGGAAAATAATTCTACTGTCACTTTAGATCTATTTAAATTAATGCTGTGGGTCAATTATCTTCAAAATCCATGAAGTTTTAGTCATGTAAAGATCCTTCCAAATGGCAAACTTATGAAATAAATGTAGTAATTTAGAATAATAATACCTTTTACTCCTCAGCCTTTTAAAAATACGTTTATACCAAAAACAGATTGACTTAGAAAGATTTCCCACATGCCTTTTCTACACACTGCCTCACAATGAACGTTGAGGACTCTATATTCACTTTGGGTTCTCGTTGTTTTCCGGGTATTTATCTGTACTCGTTTTTCCGAAGCTGTGCCTGACTGGCTATTGTTATATAATATGCAGACAAACTAGACCGCCGAGTGTGAAGATACTTCAATGACACTTCTATTTGTTTTATCATAATAATATTCAGTATCCTTTACGAGTGGGCGGTAAGAATAAAAGCAGAATGACGTACTCGGTTACGTCCTTCAAAGACTTGGGATAATCGTAATAAACAGTGTACTAGTACATGTACTCGAAATAATTTGTTATAAGCAAAGTGAACTTTGTGTTTAAGGATTCTAAAGAGGTGTATGGAATTGGTGCAAATTACCCAAAGGCGAGTAACCGGTGTCTTTACCTACGATAAAAAAGACGATTGTATTCATTTTTTTTTAAGCAAAAGAAATTGTATTGTAAACTTATCGTATATTATGATGAGTAGCAAATAACATGTTATGAATACAATATCATCCCGCTAAACCAGTTAGATTTAGCAAGAAATTATCTCGCTCAAATGTTAAGTTTTGTCAAAACTGTTTATAAACGTATGATGTAAAGTATGAACTTAATTGTTTTATATGGCATATTATGCAATCGATGTGTATTGACTTCTTTGCAATGCTGTATGGTGTAAAGATAAACTATAACCGTGATATTTGTGACTTCCAAAACACCTCGACACCATCGACGACAGAACTTGACAAACCATGAAGATACCGTGCAAACAATGCAGGTTCAATCTGCAATTTAATGTAAACATATAAACATTTGTTTAGTCATATGTCGCCATTATAACTCATTTATCATGAAATGATACCCTTTTAGATGTAATAAACTTCACCTCAGTGAAATACAATACTGCAACCCTAGTTCACTTGTTTGTATTAATTCCTATTGTTATTTGCTTAAACCAAGATAAATTGTCATACAATTTGATCTATAATACTCTGTGGGTCTTTCCACACTTGTTACAATTAAATAAACCATTAAATTCCTTCATCGTATATGAACTGAATAGATTGTGATTAATGTAGAAGACTACAGGCCTATACCTTCATAATCACAACCTTGACATAACAATCAAATCATGCACTGCACCAATGTTTCTAGTGCTGCATGATAGTAATTTTGTCTCTCTTTTGTAGAGAGCATGCACACTCATTATAATCCAGCTGAGCTACAAACTCCATAATATGCCTCTTATAATTTCATATCGTTCATCTTTACTTTGATAGCTAAACAATACCTAAACGTAAATGCCCACATACGCTTGATTCATTATCAAAGTACATTACACGTACTGACAAGTACATTACATAATACATGCACACAAACCCGTGCACTTTCACATACACGTGCACTTTCACATACACGTGTACTCTCGGCCTTTCATTTATAAGGCATCACAAATGTCACTTAAATCTCATAATTTATAAAGCCAATAGGCTAGAAAGATACATTAAGACTTTAACTTCAAGATAACATGCATAGTTTACTCACATCATTGGGCTTGTATCGAAATTAGACAAATATCAATGGCATCTCCGGTTAACATAACCTTTCCGAAACATGGAAATTAGCAGCACGCCTAACAGCGCCTCCAAGCGGCCAAATCAATACTAGCTTCTTAATTATCGCTAGTGACGTCACAGTCTTGCCTAAATCTAACCAAAAGGGCTTTCTACACACGACAATATTATTAACATATAATGTACACCTCAATTATTTTCTTGATATACGCTTCATCATGTTGAAACCAAGCTTTCATTTCAGAATAAATTGAGGCGATACCTCATTCGTACGTCTATCTATATCAAGAACCCTGTAATAGAACATTTAGCTCATATTTTACTATCAAAGCGATGGAACCCTTGAGTTTGGGCCCTTGTCAAAGTTTGGGTTTTAACAAATGGAGGTTAGCATCTGTCGGAGATTTATTTTGTTAAACGTGTTCCCTAATAGAGCCCTTGTCGGCTTGTTAGAACACGGAAATGTACTCTCAAATTATTTATATTTAAATTGTACTGGCTCAAATATAGAAATATTATTAAAGGTCAAATTAAATCGACTGTAGTCAAAGAAATAATCAAAAAAGGAATAATTTTTTTTTTTAATTTGCATTTGCCCAGTGTATGTCACCACTCATTCATTCGTCAGACGAAGCGTCCATCATTACGTCATTGCTTGCTATAAAGTACTCTTTAAATGATTTGGTAAAGTCCTTTTGTTAAACGATGTAAAGACAACCTTTATATAAATCCGAGTTAATATGACAATGAGAAAATTTAACGCAATGGCAGAAAACTGTTTTACATGTAATATACACAACTTATTTATTGTATTTTCGAGTTACTGTAGTTATTTATTATCTGACAAAATAAAGTCAAAGACAAATGCATCGCATTATTTACACGTTATGTCTCGCTGGTCTCTTTTATGTATGCTTGAATTATTTCGATATATTTTCTTTCGATTTTTTTCAATATATTTTTTTTTAAAGAATGTAACAATAATTCAGGGGTACTCCAACGTCTGATCCGACGACCAGTGCGCCATGATTTATTCCTTCAAAGATCGATGCTCTGTGTTACCATGATTATAGTTGGTAATTTCCCTTGCAGAGGTTTTGGTGTTATGGAGCTCTCACACTCTGCCGTCTAGGCCTACCGTCCACCTGCCGGGCTATTAAAAAACAACAGAGTCCAGAACGTTGGGTTTTGAGCGAACTTGTCCCCGGCCGCAAAAAAAAAATTAAATTAAATTAATCTTTTCACCGTTTCGTTGCCATCTTCTGACCGTTCTCACCGGGCGCATACCGGGTGTTGAACGTGCTTCTACCGTCTTCACCGCCCAGATTGACTTTTGTTGAAAATTTTGGCCGTTTCCATACCGGGTCTCGAACGTGTGCACCGGGTTTGTAGCAGCCACCTACCAGTCACTTAGCGTCCCCTCACCGCTCGGAGCGTCCTGTGAGCGAGTCCCCGGACTGCTGACGTCATGACACGACTGCCATAAATACCCCGATTTGAACGGCAACGTTCACAACCCGCTTACAACCCGTTGCAGACGGTGGATTTTTTTTTGCCCGTTCATCACCGTTCTGTAACGGGTTATGAGCGTGTTGTGAACGTGTTCATACAGTGTGACCGTTTTCATAACGTATTCATACCGTCCTCATACCGTTCAACACCGTCCTCTTGCCGATTACTTGCGGCCGGTGCCAGCCGGCCAAAGTTTTGAACATGCCCAAAACTTTCGCCGGGTCCCACCGGGTGTAAATAAGCGCCAACGCCCTATTAACGTGTTGCCCGCTTTGATAACGAACCACCGTGTGCCCTCGCCGTTCTCCACCGTCCGCAGACATTTTCGCGCACGGTGGCACACGGTAGGCCTACACGGCAGAGTGTGAGAGTCACTTTAGGGTTTGGGTGAGGTAAAGTGTTGGGTCCATGGTTGAAGTAAGGAATTATTGTCCTACCTAACAACACGTAATGTATGCGATTCGCGTTCAGACTATCGAAGAAACAATTATTCCTAACAAGTGAATGGAATAATTTGTAACGAGGCACTTTACAAAGATTTGTGCTTTTAATTTGATTCATCATCAATAGTGATCTGTCAGTTTATGACAGGTTCAGTGACCCATTCAAAATTCTATATCAAGTGTCTCTCAAAGCTTCTCTCCAAGTTCCTCGGTCTGGAGCCAACCGTTTCATCGTTTCATACCCTGTTGTTCCACATTGTGTGATTACATCATCTAGAAAGCCTTTACGAGGTCTTCACCTCTTCTTCTTTCCATGAATACGACCTTCTATGACTCTGAGCATCAAGCCCTCATCATGCCGCATTATGGGTACAAGCCATCTCTACCATTTGGATTTGATTACATAACGAAAATGGCTTATTCGCAAATTCTAAAGAAGAAGAAAAAATTAGACTAAACTTTTTGCTTGAATAGTTCCGAACAAAATATATATCCCCTTCCCCAGGAAAATTAGTGGGATTGTTTGTACTCGCAGTGTTAGGTCTACCTGTCCATTTTACTCCCTCATTCATTCATTCAGGGATGCTTCCCTCCCTCTCGGTATTTAGTGACTTACACAAAGAACGAAACGTCAACTATGTCAATAGTATTCAGGTTTGACAAGAACGCTATTTTTATTCATAGTTATTTTAGTCATTTTCTGGGTATTTGGTTGGTTGTTTGCATGAAGGAAACATACATAAGGAAAGGCGATCAGTAGTCTTGCGGTCATAAACTCTTCTACTGAAAATGTATTTTAGGTTAATGTTATTGTTCACATCTTGTTTTCTTGTCGATACTCTCTGAGAGAATGGGACTGACGGAAATGTGACGAATAGGTGATCTGTGTTCTTAGGCTTCCCGTTTTACACCCCTAACCTTCCTCCTCCTCGCTATATATAAATATATATATATATATTAATGTTAACACTCCCCTGTACACATTGCGTTATTCTAGTTGTTAACTGACCCATCCAACTTATACTACTGGTCAGTTTTCATACACCAATTAATAAATAAACTAATAAATATATACGTTTATATACATATATATATATATATATGAAAAATAAATTCCCACTTTCCTTCATTTTCATGACTCGAAAAAATAATCACTACTTTCGAATGAAACTACGTTTTAAGTTACGATGTGGTCGATGTGGGCAGCAATTTGTGTGTGTTCCTCTTTATCTCCCTCCATTCACAATTATTATTCATAATATTCAACGATTTCCCACAAGGTCCAGTTTCTGTTGTTGCAAAAGATCAGCGGTATGATGCTATATATAGTAATAAGGGCATGTTAAGGGGAATACTCGTGGAAATGTCTAGTGAGTACGTTTTTAAGCCAGGATTTTAAAATACATTTTTAAAAATGGAGAGAAAAAAAGAATTTTCATATTGGGAATTTCTTTTCCTTTCTTATTTGGGGACTAATTCTGAACCTTAAAAAGACTGAAAACACAACCAGAAGCAGAAGAAGAATATTTTACCCCCCCCCCCCTCTCCATGGTTATATATGCAGACAACCACTCACACACACTCACACACGCACGAAACACACTCACAAATCATCCATGAAATGCCCCCACCCACCAATCCATGAAAACAAATATGGGTAAATATTCAAATACAAAAATAAATCTCCAACGTTTTATAAACTTTTTTTTTTGTTTTTTTTTTGCGGTGCTTTTTGTCATTACTTTTTTTTTGTCACTTTGCACTTTTCCGAGCCCCTACTTATATTTTCACTGCAGCACGTGCTATATTTGGACAATTTTCAATTTTCTACATCATTCACTAACATACATGTATGTCAGTTGTCCACTTTCGTACTCCTCCCCCTTCCCCATCTCTCTCATAAAAAATCTAATTACAATTTGTAATTTTTAGGTTGTATTTGAACTTTCCAGTAGGTTAGGTTACAAAACAGTGAAGATTACTTCTAAACATTGTGTTAGGTTCTCAATGTCATTATCCCTTCCAAAAGAAATATAATTATAATTTGTAGTTTTTAAGTTGAAATAGAACTTTTATTTGGGCTGAGGTTCCACAAAAGTGAAGCTTCGATACTGATGAATTTGAAGGAAAGTATTTTTTCCTCACTTCTGGCAATATAAAAGAATGACCACAACTACATTAATCTTCAGTTTGAAACCACTTTATTTCATGTGATCGAACTCACTGTTCATTACATGTTACACAGTTATAAAAAGCAAAGGGTTAAAGCAAAATAAATACTCAAATTCCATTTAAATAGCACTTTTTTTCAAAAGAAACATCATAAAAAATGTTACTATTACATTCCCGTAATATACAGCATGTACACGAATTTGCAATTTTTCACATTTTAATAAGTAATATCCTAATAAGAATCTGTTCGCTGATTCCTATACATAATAACATTATTTTCAAAGACGCATAGATTAAACAAAGTATTCACAGTCTTATTCTTTTCTTATTCAATATATAAAAAGAATTTTACCCGACCTCGCAGAAATGCGGTCAATTATAATCCAGATGCTGGTAAAAGATGTACAAAAAAATATTGTAAATTATGTAAATACCAATTACTTAATGAAGTAATCAAAATGTGTTGGAGCAAATTTCTTTTAAGAAACCACCGGCGAATTTATTTTCAATAGGAACTTCGCATAAACTGAAGTCTAACAAAATAAAAAGCAAGACAAGCGCCGAATTCCTACAAAAGCATAATTATATTTCAAAGTCTCTTTTAAAATGATAAACATAATGCAATGAATTTGTCTATGTGCATGTGTGTGGCCTTTTTAAAACATCTATTTATTTTTAGTACTTTATTTGTTGATATTTTGAAAAATCCTGCTTTAATTGAGACGCTGTGACTGCGATAAATATAGTAAATCTGCCTTTCAGCATGAACTGCATTAATTGTCATTTTTTTCCTATATATTTGATTCAAATTACAATACAAATACAAGCAATCTGTCACGTCTGTATTCAATACAAACAAGACAATGTTCTGATAATTTTTTTTTTTTTTTTTTTTTTTTTGGTGTGATTTACCCGACGCGGGTTTACCATCATTATATGTTATATTTGAACTAACAAACCTCTTTTCAAGTCACTAGAACGTGAGTACTGAAATAAGGCCAATAACTTTGGTGGCTTTTGAAAAATATATATATTCATGCCCAAAACGACATTACATATAAAGCTATATAGCGATATTGAATGTAAATAAATATTAAACGAGAAAAATAATGAAATGTACACAGAAATCATAACGCAAATATAACATAAATAGATAAATAACGTATATAGATTGTTTGCTAGCAACAACAGTACGTCAAATAATAAATTAAATCGATGGGACTACTAAAAAAGATGTACGTTGTAAAATCCAACATGCAAAACAATTGAATAAACGAACAATTTTTATATCCTATCTAAATGGTTGAAACACAATATTTGAACAAATATACCAATAAATACTTTTATAGTGGAAGCACCAGAATAAAGGGGCCACGTGCAAAACGCTAATATTGTTATTGACTTACTTTTTGCAATGAAAAGTATTTTCGACTTCAAGATGCATCCCAGAATCATCATATAATGAAATCAAGCATTTCTTTAAAAATTTGAAATATACAATTTCATCTCAGATCACCATGAAGTATCAAACTATACGAGTCGTTTGATCGATTTCCACACATTTAAATTATCTTTATCGCATCGAATTTAAAAAGCAGCTGCATTTTTGTAGTAATTAACATTTTATAAAGAACTATCATTACAATTTATATCATTACATTGTGTTTATACATTGAATGATAAAGTAAATAAATAAGTCACATGGAAGGAATCATAAACATGAATACAATTTCGTTTTCGGAATATAAAAACAGTTCGCTGGTCTTTGGGTTCAAAGTCTTGAAAAATAAACAAGACAGAAATTGCTTCACCACTTAAAAGCGTACCGAAATCTTGGACGACGGTTACGTAACAGAAAGTCAAGCGGTGAATGAAAGACATGTTCGCCATGCATGCAGCTGAGCATTCGAATCATAAGCATTCACAAATACTTTTGATGGAATCTTCTCATTTGGCAAGACAACGATTTCTTTTTTCTGTCAATTTCTGTGAAAGTGAAAATGCCAACAAAAAAAGCATGTGCCGCGAATTTCATCTACGCAGCGTTGTGCTACAAAGAACATATCCCATCTAAGTGCATTTTCTTATTGCTCGATGCTAGTACTGTAAATTCTACAAAGACTTTGGACATTTAAAATAACAAAATCGCAAAGACATTCGTGAATACAACTTAAGGACAATTCTAATGTAATATAATGTAACATGTCTTCGTAACGTATGAACATTCGGGTGATCGGTAGGAGGACTTTGCGATTATGTTCTTTAGCATGCTTTTCTCAATGCAGTTACAATTCAGAGTCGTATTGCAGAAAAGTATTCTTCTCATTTAAGAAGTTCACGGTTTACGACCAATAACGCACTCGCATCCAACAGTCACAGTAACTGAACCCCAGTCGTAGTGTTCGAAATCACCCACGCAGCCTGCTTTTCGCAGTACAGCAATTTCCCTCGTGATGGGCCGGCAATAGCCGACTGGGTGTTCGGCAGCGTCCCCGGGGCAGTTTTGGTCTTCACCATCGACATTCATTCGTCGGTCCCTCTGTCCCAGGAAGCAATATTCGCATTCGCATGCTGCTTCCATGATCGTTTTGGGCCACCTAGTGCTGTCAAAGTTTGGATGTTGTACACTGTGAATGACAAAAGCAGTAATAATTGTTTAAAAATTGTATAACAAGAACAACAAGAACGAAAGTAACCACAACAATAACAACGATAATAATGATGACGATAATAACATAAAAAAGTTAATAATAATGATAATAATAATTATAATAATAATTATAATTATAATGATAACGCCAACGATAACAACAATAATAACGAAGAGAAAAGGACATACAAGAGCTTTTGCTTGTCATCTTTTAAAAATTATTTTTGTGTTGAATAAAACATGACCTTTTCATTGATTGTCAGGGAATTTTTGCACTCTACCTCCCCCCCCCCCCCCCTTTCCCAACAAGAAAATTATGGGTCTGCCCCTTTACTCACGGATGTGTGTTATATAAACAATAGATAAACTGCAATATTTGACTATTGCAGCGTCGTGCTTATTCTCCCCCCCCCCCCCCCTCTCTCTCTCTCTCTCTCTCTCTCTCCCTCTCTGTCAGTTTCTCAATATCTCCCTTCGATCTCCCTAAAGTTCTTGGTCTCAACGATTATCAATAGAATTTGAAGCAATGACTCAATGACTCATTGAGTCCACCGCTAATACCAGGCCAGTGCATGATCATTGTACCTGCGTACAATCACTAAAGGTAATTCATTTAGGGAAATTCCCTTTTTTGGCCCGGAACGAGACTATAGTCTACAAAATAAACCCTATATTTATAAAAACAGAAGTTACGTTCCAAATAAAGGCATATTAATGATAAGATGATCCATGAATATACATGTATGTAGCCAAAATTTACAGTGATGCTTAAAAAATTGCTATATTACATAACCATATGGTTTTCCGTTTCTCCTGCAGAAGTACATAAATTGAATGTAAAGTTTTAAAATATATGTACTCCAACTTGTAATCCTTTGTAACGTAAAGGTTATTTTTTTAAAGTATAATATTTTAAGACGAAATTGAAATGTCTTCATTTTGAAAGACATTCACTACGATGCAAATTAAGCTTTACTTAAATTACGTAATAATGTGTGTGTTATAGACGATAAAATGGGGCGTGGTATTGTAGACTAGTTTATGCAACCTGCTCTAATACGCATGCATTGTTGAAAACAAAGACACGCCACTCTGTGGTGAGCAACTACACAGAGATGTCTAATGCACCATACTACTGTACTAAACTCCAATATACACGTGTGTAGCCCGTATCGTATATTTCATTCACAGTTGGGATTTTTTTTTTCCAGCTGTTTTTGCTCGGTATTGAAGCTCGGTCCTAAAAATTTGGGAGGATTCCCTCCAAATTCAAAATAATTAAGACATTGCTCATTCAAAAGCTGTGACCCGATTCTTCGCTCAACTTCACCCCACCATTCCCAAAACAATATCAAAAATAGAATTTAAATCGTTTTCATATTTGTAATCCGGTATCTCTTCTTTATTTATAGCTTCATTTACGTCACACACTTCTTTTTACCAAAACGACCTGAAGCCCGTTTTGCCTTTTATCCTATGGTCGAAAAGAAAAGCGACACGGATGTTGGGTTCCCCCCAAAAAATTATTTAGGGTTACATGTTTTTGAGGTCATCCCACCCGTCAATGGACGCATTCGAATAAATAGAGCCCCAACTCTCTTTAGATGTTTACATTGGCTTTATTCGGAGCTATTACGCTGAACAGACTTACACCCCCAAAAGACCGAAATATCTTTATTTCTGCTTCATGATTTTTTTTAAATATTGGCTAGCCAATCAAAAATGATTCATTACACTTTAAGGGCCAATTTGTTGTAAAAATTCTCTGATAAAAATAAAATATCTTGCTGGAAATTTTATAATGTGAAAAAGATAATCTGACATCCTTCTGAGTATTTCGGAAGCAATCTTTGTATCAACTATTTTATTTATTTTATACCATGACAATTCTCCCTTTCTATTTCATTGCCTCAAAAGGGTATTCCCCCTTGGAAAACGATGACGTAGTGCCATTGCGTAAAATTGAGGCAAGCACCCTGGTATGCGAGGCTAACGGAAAAAAACAATATTTTTAATCTTCTCACCGACCCAATTCTTCGCTCTTCTTTTTTTTTCTTTATTCCTCCTATTCATTTTTTTTCTTTTTATCATTATCATTTTTCGAGTTCTTTTACTGATTTCTTTTCTTCAACTTCTGCTCCTTCTTCTGCTCCCTCTTTATCTTCTTCTTCTTCTTCGTCTTCTTCGTCTTCTTCGTCTTCTTCGTCTTCTTCTTCTTCTTCTTCTTCTTCCTCTTCCTCTTTTCCTCCTCGCCTTTTTCTCCTCGATCACCATCCTTTTCCTTCCTCTCCCCCTCTCCCGCCTCTACACCTCCTTTTTGCCTTGTTTTAATCTATTTATTGTGAAGAACTTATCACATTTATAGATTTAAGAAAACTATATCAATCTATTTCATGCTCTCCGAAAGATAATGAAACGTTGGTTTTTACTTACATGCTAGGGCACGTGCTAATTTTTGCAGCTCTCGGTCGTTCTTCCGAAGACCCACTGGCCACCGTCACGGTGCTGCCGGGGAGCATGGCGAAGCCTGATCGTTCTGTTTCATTTAAACCAGTTTCATACTTCATCCTCAAAAACTTCTTGGGAGGATCCATGCAATCTGATGTGATCTCTGAATTTTGTTGCCTCTTAGATTGTCTTTTGAGCTGAGTTTTTCTCGATCTGTTCCTGTTGCGTTCTGCGTTACACCAGCCAACCGCCAGCATCAAGCACAGTGCACAAATTAGAAACTTTGCCATACCCTGTGATCAAAAATAAGAAGGAAAAAAATGAAGTTAAAATAATTATACAAATCAGTCGAGGACGGGAGAAGAGACTTTTGTGATAAAACAATTATAGACACTCTCTCCATTTCTCCAGATAACATGAAACAAACGAAAATCAGCGTTCTGTCACGCTGATGCAAAATAAGAAATGCCTTCAAAACATCGTACTGCTAACTAGTTAAAAATATGAGAAAATTACATTGTATTAAAATAAAATACTCTTGGCAAATAAATGTCGAAATGAATCCTGACGGAAAAATCTGTGAGAGTTTTTACCATGTGATCGCTAACAATTTTGGAGAAGAATTAAGAGCCTAGGTGTCCCGGACGCTACCACAAGCTTTAATGCCGAGACCACTGCACAGCAGCCGCCAGACTCCCGCCCCAAAAAGGAAGTAGTTAAAAATAGAAATTCGTGAACAGAAAAAAAAAGTAAAGGGGAGTTCGCTACCAAATCGCAAAAGTAACAGACGGGGGTACACCAAAGTGTCTCATTGTAAGTGGGTGTGGTTTTTACGCACTGGTAACTTGGTGTAGAATAAAAGAAAATTTTCCCGTTTTTCTTTCGTATTTTTCTCTTTGCAAACTTTGGATGAATGGCGTCGAAACAGGAACACATCGGCTTACGATATCAAGTTATTTTTAGAAGATGTAGATCATGTTAACGTTACAGACTATGCACTTTATAACACACCTAGATCTTGGACGTTTAGGTATCTATCTTTAATTTAACGTATGTTATAATTCTATTGCGATAAATAGCGAAATTAGTTCTCCCGAAGAAAAATTTAAATGTAGAAAAGGGTACGATAACGAATATGGTATCTTTGCAAAAAAAAAATCAATTTACTCAATTTCTCCAGTTTGTGTGTGTTTTACTGAGATGAAATTATATTTTTGAGCGTTGACTTTTCCACTCCATCTAAAAGAAGCTCGGACTATAGGCGAAGCGTTTGGTGACTTCTGATCTTTGCTTGGTATGCAATTTGAATAAATTAGTCATTTGAATATCTAAACACACTTTTGATGATGATAATACAAATAAAATTATTAATTTACAAATTCAAATAAGCGATATCAAAATATGGCAAAATCATCAAACTGTCTGATTAAGGCCTACTAATTGCTCTGCCGTTTCAGGAGTGCATACCCACCCCATCCAAATAAAATTTGAACTCTATTTAGTTCAGGTAATTAGAGAGATAATGACATGCCATAATATTCCTCTGATGCTAAACCATTGTATCACATCATCAAACTTTAATAAAAATATAAATACATTTCCCAGCACAGACGATATAGACCACGACAAGAAATAAGCAATAAACAAAAATAACCAAAGAACCAACTTATATTTTGTGAAATACTGGTAAAAAAACATACTATAAAGATGAAAATGGAATATGTGAGCCCACAAGTACCCAGAGTACAATTCTGTTAGAAGTATAACAAAAATCCGTCTTACCCGTGCTGAAAACATGATTAATATTGTAATAAAACTGGTCTTGTCCTAAGATACTTTAGCTGATCAGCTTTCCTCCCAAGTTGATAAATGATCTTCTATCCTCCATCGAATCGTATTTATGCATTATGCTCGCACGGATGGTTATTTTTAGATAATGTTGTCAGGAAAATAAAAATCCTCCATGTGTTACAGGTATGGTGCGGCCGCTGGAGCAGCGCGTTTTTAGGGGGATTTCCCGAATATAGTCTAGTTCACAGACCTTAACTTGTTTGATTTACAAAGCGTTCAGAAATCTTTGCAAATGGGTAAACATCCCGGTAAATATGATGCCATCATTAATATATCCAAACAACAAACAAATATATATACTCATTATTTGAAGTATCAAACCAAATTAAAACAAAAGAGGCAAGAAATAAACAAATAATTCGTTACTCCTCTACGATATATAATGTATAGGGCATTGTAATTTTCCGGTCAGTGCATGGATAGGAAAATTACGGTTCTTTTATTTTTAATTTTGTATACTGTAATGAAATACGTTATTGTTTGCTGTTTGCCATACCCATGGCGACCTTTATCATTATATTATGTTTGGATGAAAACTAAGTAAGAATAAGAATTGAGCAAATTAATTTATCAATTTGAACAAATAATAGGGCGGAAACAGAGTTTAAAATAATGAGAGTCGATTATGAAGTTCTTATCATTACCATGATTAAGGTGTCTCATTATCATTATTAGTATCATCATTATGATCATCATCATCATTGTCGTCGACGTCGTCGTCGTCATAATCGTCGTCATCGTCATCGTCGTCATCACCTTATATTCATCAATACGATCATCATAGTCATCCTTATCGTCATTTTCATCATCATCATCGTCAACATCATCACCATCGTCGTCATTACTTTATCCTTATCGTCATCATCATCATCAACATCACCATTATCGTCATCATCATCGACGTCATTATCATAATTATCAGCAATGCTATTAACCATCGCCATCCTCATCATTTTCTTCTCAATCATCGTCATCGTCGCCTTTATCATCGTCGTCGTCGTTGGCATTGTTCATATCCCCCATTTCACTTTATCTTCACTTCTCCTCCAGTTCCATCTTCTCTTCCTTCTTTTTCTCCTCCTTCTTATTCGCCTTCTCTATCTACTCCCTTCCTTTTACGACGCCTTCCCCTCTCACATTCTATTTCTTCCTTCTCCTTATCATTTTTCTCTCCCATTATCTTTCTCATTTCATTCTCTTCTCTTCTATTTCTTTCGTTGCAATTAATCTTGTTGATCACCATCCCTTTGTAAGTTTGAAAGTTCTAATACAATTTCCTCCTTTTTGAATATTGAGTCTTAAATCTTCAAGTAAAAATATTAATAAATTGATAATTTACACCCTTAAATAGAATTCCTCAATCCTATAATACAATGTCAGAAGTATAGGCCAGTGTTATTAGCATGTCTTTACAAATACAAACATTTTCCAAAGCTATCGGAAACAATAGAGGAAGTTTAGAAATGAATCAATGTCATCAATTGTGTATACGTTTTTTTTTCCGTTGTCATAAGTCAAACACGGATTCGAGAAATACAAACCCGAAGCCGTCGAACACATCAAACAACCACAAGAATCAAGAGCATCCACCTTTTTTCTTATTTTCCCCCGGAAATTTGATTCGAATCACAACAAGTATAGAAAATAAATGTTAGTCTTTGAAAATTAAACAAGTCTTCGCAAACAGACGGAAATTGTCTATATTCAGCGCTAACATTTGGTTACTTGAGCGACAAACAAACAAGCAAGCAAACACAATGAATCTCAAAGCCAGCGGGGAAAGAAAAGAAAGGGAAAATGTCCTTGTAATAGCTCACTATGTAGTTGAACATTTTCATCTAAAATTACACGACTTGTGTGTTACATAGCATGCTTGCAAAGGTGTCATGTATCAACTTGAAAAAAAATAATAATAGTAAAAAGAGGGGGAGTATTGAATCATGATCGAATATTTCAATCTCATTTTCCTGACAGGTACAGTGAGTTTGAACACACTTCAGACAACTTGCTGATTAGTGTTAAATGTTCTTAAAATAAACTGCAAGAAATTCATGATTTCTCAATAAATTGATCAATTAATACATTAAATCTCACGACGTAAATTAAAGCAATCATTGGATGATTTGGAAGGCCGTCTCTGAATGTTTCAGATATTATGCTCAACGTTCCTGTAGAAATCAATTCAATAACTTTTAAGTAAACTTTGCATTCTCTTGTGACAAATTATTTTTTAGTTTGATAATAATAAATTATACATCTTTGATCGGCGATTTGACCAATCACGTCGCCAGTTGCACTGAAGGTAAAAATATCTTTTTCCATTTTTATGTGAGGTGAGAATGAACTATTTCGATCATTTTTTCCCCATTTTTCTTTCATTTTCCCCCGTTATGTTTGATGATTCATTTTCATTACTAGGTTTCTTACACGTGTTAATTGTAATCGTAATTAAGAAAATAAAGCGAACATCTTAAAACGTGGATTCTACGAAGCTCCCCGTTCATTATTATATCCTCTTTTAATATTTGCTATAACTCAAGCTATTTGTTCGTCGCTTACTTACTGTCCCCGATATATATGCACCATGTTTTATTTTGGGAGTCTATTTATACACAGTTTTGGTTTCTGTCTCCAAGACTTCGCTTTTAGTAAATTATTTGCTTATTTTATCGTTTCTGTCTGTTTATACATTCATAATTTTCTACCAAATATAACTGGAGCAACCGTTACTTTAGAATTATGGATGATGGGGGAACCCATCGCGTATGTCTGAAATATGCATCCTTTACGTTCATGAATCATTTTTAAATATCAAAATGAAAATATTAGGAAATTACACCTTTTTGGAATAAATAGTATAGCTCCCGATTATTTTAGGGGTACATGTATTTCGCAATAACGAGATATAGAGACAGAAAAGCCACTATGTATAGACTTAATACACAAAATAGATACGAAGGGGTTGGTTGCAACTTACATGGCCGGAACATAATTATCAGGCTAAAATATAATAACGATTGTGGTATTTCCTTCAACTTTCGTTTCTTTATAGGAAAGATTCTCATTCTTTTCGTTCTTCTTGTCTTTTCTTATCAGCTATTGTAACCGAGTTTGAGTTAAAACATTTGGCATACTGAGCCACGAAAGTGATTGTTTCATTGTTGTAAAGAATGTCTAAATATTAAACCAATTAGACCGACACTACACAGATAATACACCGAACAGACAATGATATAACCCCAAATATCTGAGAGTCTGTCCGTCGGTTTGGAGTCTTTGTGAAGTCGGTTTGGCTCCGTGAATGAAGCATAAAGGCATAATTATTATGCAAACCGAAAGCTCATTACAGGCACAATGTCCTCTTTTTATTGGTCGTTTGAACGAATGCTTTGAGCTTATTCTGTATCCTCTTGTCTTTTCGATAGTTTACAAACTCAACACCTACGCAAATTCGACACAGAAGAACCTGTTCAAAAGACAAATAGATATTATGTTACGAAGGGGAAGGAAGGAAGGTTAAGTTTTATCTGGAAATACTTTCATTTTGAAGAGCTGACAACTCTGGGTTAATTGTCTTGGCTGGTTCATATGCGAGGTATTTCATGACACTCGCAAATTGTACGATGTTGAAAAGAAGTGCAAGTATGATGGGAACTTGTTGTACTTTCTTATTGAACGGGGTCACCCCCTTTCATTTCCGGCCGGGGACGAGAATTCCAAAAAGGGGCAGGTATTGAAAGGATTCAAGATTCCGTCTTATAGTATTCAACATGTTTGAACAGAATTTCAATAAAATATCTATCTCCCCCCCCCCCCCCTAAAAAAATCTGGAAAATGAAAAATCA